AATACCTGCCAGCACATCCACAATACCTGCCAACACAGCCACAATACCTGCCAACACAGCCACCATCCCTGCCAACACAGCCACAATACCTGCCAACACAGCCACCATCCCTGCCAGCACAGCCACAATACCAGCCAATACAGCCACAATACCTGCCAGCACAGCCACCATCCCTGCCAGCACAGCCACCATCCCTGCCAACACAGCCACCATCCCTGCCAACACAGCCACCATCCCTGCCAACACAGCCACAATACCAGGCAAAACAGCCACCATCTCTGCCAACACAGCCACCATCCCTGCCAACACAGCCACCATCTCTGCAAACTCAGCCACCATCATTTTCACTGCCAACACCATGCACTGTGCAAGAGAATACTAACCCGCTGAGGGTCCTCTTGTGAAGGATAAAGCTCCCATCCTGTTTCAAAGTTAACAAGATTGACCATAATTCCTTTCTTGTTTGGATAGAAAGCTAGCTGTTTAGTTGCATCACATTTCATTCCAGGGTTACTAAGTTTACGTTCCTCATGTTCAACCCACTGTAATGAAAAAAAAAATCAGTATATAACTATAGTACATATGTGGACATGAAAATAATCTAGTGAGAAACCATTAAAAGGAGAAAACATCATGTGTAAATCTTAAATAGTGATTAAGTTTTACGAGATCTGATAAAATTGATGCATAATACGAGTTCATTCAGACCTTAAGTGAAAGCTAACCTCCATTCAATGACTTGTTATTACCTGTTCAGCACCAGGGATTTGTTTCACCACGTACACACGTAACTGTATATCAGTCTGCATTGACAGATAAACCATGGTATACATCCACTGCTTATCCAGACCTACATGCACTGTAATCGGACCATTAGATGGTGCCAGATCCATATCAGTTTCAGCAACACATGCACCCTCACCATTTGGAAGTACCAAATCCATCTTGGCTTTAGCCTCACCTGGACCCAGACCATTCGGATTTACTGGATCAATCCTGGCTCCAGCAACACCTAGTCCCTGAACATTCGGAGGTGCTGGATCCATCTCGGCATCAGCAATACTCAATGCATTCAACTGGACTGGCTCAGCCATCAAACCAAATCCAGTGAAATGACTAACTAGAATAGTTACTCTCTGTTTTCCGTTGCATACATCTAATAAGCACGTTGATGTCTGCTCACTCAACTCTTTATTTGGATCTATCAGTGGTTGATAGTTACTCGGCTTGTCAATATCTGTAGCAGTGTAGACTGGAGAAAGTTTCCATTTCTCACCAGCGGATTCAAAACAGTGATTAAAAGTAAGACACACTCTTTCTCGAAACTTCAGACCATTAGGACCACAGATAATGATAGGACCAGCACTAGTCTTCGGTTTGGGACATTTCAGTTGATGCTGATTTTCCCAAGATACATAAATAAATATTTCTTGCTCGACATCCTTAGGAATGGCACCAGGAGGGATGAACAACTTTACCTTCATCTCCATCAGTAACAGATGTCCTCCGCTGTGATCAAATATCCCTGATACGTAATTTTTGCGCATGACAGACTCTGATGGAAGCATTGGATCTTTAATGAGGATTGGTAGGACCTGACTCTGTGTGGCCATTTCGGGGCTGGAAGCGGCTACCTCCTCGTTTGGTGGGCGAGAAAAGCCTACCTCCTCGTTTGGTGGGCTAGAAAAGCCTACCTTCTCTTTTGGTTGGCTAGAAAAGCCTACCTCCTGTTTTGGTGGGCTAGAAAAGCCTACCTCTGCATTTGATTGGCTAGAAGAGTCTACCTCCTCTTTTGGTTGGCTAGAAAAGGTTTCTGCTTTGCAATGGGGTATTTCAATCTGCTTTTCACGTCTTTGACTTTTGGATACTGAGTCATCATCCAAGGAGACAAAATGAAATTCAGATTGGCCACTGACTGGTCTTTTCTTCTGAGATCTTGTACGTTTCTTTGGACCAGATTCAGCTAGCAAAATAAAGAAAATATTACCACTGTCAATATGTAGCATTATGTAATTGTCGAAATTAATTAACACTAATTAATTATTTTAACATATGCAGAATGCTGGACCACATCCAAGTAATTGCATGTGTTTCTTGACAAATTTGAAAAGTTGAAATTTACTTGTTGATGGATGGACAATCAAGAATCAAACTGTGTCATCTGATGAAATTAAATAGTTAAAATCAAAAAAAGCTTAGATGGAACTCCTGTGTGCTGAGGGTACAAATAAGGAATACTGTATTTGCTGTATCAGAAGCAAATCTCAAAGCAACAAGACATTGTTAATGACATAGTCCCCGTTGGAATTCGGTGAAATGTTATTCATGCCAAAAATAAAGTAATATGGACCAAAAGCATAATTGATAATTTAGAGTGAATAATGGTCTAGTGTCAACAGAAATTAGATGTATTAAATGGTCAGAAACTAAACAGGATATGCTATTCATGCATATTTTGTATCCAAACTGAATTTCATGTGTCCAGACTCATTTACAGAGATTCGAAACACAAAAATATCATCATGTACATGTATCTCAACATGTATAATGTTTGTATCAAATTTGAATGAAATTCTGTTCAAGATACCACATTTTCAAAATCAAAGAAAGCTTAGAAAGAACTCCTGTGTAATTTAAAATTACTCGTACTTGAGATATTATAACTAATATGAACAGATCTGAGTGTAAAACTAATAAGGTCTGCATAATGTAATATCTAAGTACCAAGTTTCATTGAAATGTGATTATAACCAAATAATTATGAATTACTATGCTAATTAAAGAATTAATATGAACAGATTTTAGCGCAAAATTAATCAGGCCTGTCTATTGTCCTAGAGCATTTATGTACCAAATTTTATTCAAATGTGATGATCAGCAATTGAGATATCAGTGTTAATTCATTAATTGTGTTAATTAATCAATTATGTTAATTAGGTGATTAATAAGCATAAATATTTACCAAAAACTAATTGGGTCTCTGCATAGTTTTAGATTCATTGAAATGTGATGATGAGTACATTTTAAAAGTTTCATTAAAATACAATGAGTGGTTCTTTATATATCAGTGGAACAGTCATGGAACAGCAAAAAATTAACTAATTATGCAAAATAGGTAATTAATAAGCACAATTATTTACCCTAATACTAATCAGGTCTCTGCACAGTCCTTAAAACTATGTAACAAGTTTCATTGAAATGTGATGATTACTACTTAAAATATCAAAAGCTGAAAATTAATTAAGTATGCAAATTAGGTAATTAATATGTACTGATATTACCCTAAAAACTATCAGATCTGTGCAGTGTCCTATGACATCTATTTACCAAGTTATATTGAAATGTGATGATCAGTACTTGAAATATCAAAAGCTGAAAATTAATTAATTATGCAAATTAGGTAATTAATATGTACTGATATTACCCTAAAAACTATCAGGTCTGTGCAGTGTTCTATGACATCTATGTACCAAGTTATATTGAAATGTGATGATCAGTACTTAAAATATCAAAAGCTGAAAATTAATTAAGTATGCAAATTAGGTAATTAATATGTACTGATATTACCCTAAAAACTATCAGGTCTGTGCAGTGTCCTATGACATCTATGTACCAAGTTA